TTATAAACTGTACAGCATTACATAGGGGTATATGTCCCAGATTATCTACATCTGATTGACTGAACATTTGTGAAAGCCACGAAGTCCGCATATTATCTTGAGTAGTTCCTAGCATATCCAGAGTATGTTTTCCATAAGAAATCAGGTATCTTAAGCCAGTAACCCAAATATTTGCAATGTCTGCTGAGTTAGCAACCAAATCTAGTGACTCATAATTTTCTCCATATATAATTGAAAACGCACAATCTTCTGATATCTGGTCATATATTCCATTGCTGCGAAAGATATCTGTATTTTTTCCTGTTCTTACTTCTTTGATTGACTTGATATCAATCTTTGCTTTTTCGGAATCCTTTTTTGAAGGTTCCCAACGGAGAGACTGCATATCAGCATCCAAAAGAAAGTATCGGTGATACACCCTGGAGTTGGATCGGACCTTTTTCAGCTCAGAGCCTTCCACCATGGCGTTGATGCAGTCGCTTGCACTGCTGATCTTCTTCTCTGTGGGCATGCTGCTGAAAGACACAGTCTTCTTCCTTTCTCGTTTCTGTTTCGTACCATCCTGGTAAACAAGGGAGTGGGGAGGAGAAAAAATAATTTATCAGTATGATTTTACTCAACACTGAAATGGGTTTCAACTTATTGAACTGAAAGTTCATCAAGTAGTTCAATAATATTAATAATGCCTTAATATTTGCTCTTGCTTCTATGAGTAATCTTCCAGAGTTTATTTTTAGTACTTTTGACGGACACAAAATTAAAAAAAAATTAGTTTTGAATGCTAACAAAATAATAATGCTGTGGTATTGCATATATGTATGTGCATTTTATTTTATGGGTTGTACCCTACTCAGAGAGAGAACAGGTTCTAAAGTGAAGGCAGTAGGAAGCAAGCTTTTCTCTGAGTCCTTATACAGTCCTACAGAGACTTGTCAAACTTGTCAGCACAGAATATAATGCTTTAATACCATGCTGACAGGGTCCTTGTGAACACCAGAGAAACAATAATACACAATTAACTACAAAAAATCCATAGGACATGGTCCTAACTACATAAAATCCAAAATCCATAGGACATGGCCCTAATCTAAGCATACAAGACATTAACAGCACTTCCTTATGCAAAGCTTCCTTCAGCAGTGCACCCATCCATGTTCTTCCCACAGACTGACCACAGCACTCTCACATCCCTCCCCTTGGCAGGAAAATACCCATGACTGTCTAAAGAAGCTGAAACACAAGGAACTGGACTGGGGCAGACATAGCTCTGCAACTTTTGAGTTTCAGAAAATACAGCAGTGACTCAGAATGGAACTTTTGAGATGGTGTGACTGTTTCCAAAGAACCTTCATGTCAGTAGAAAGAACTTGAATAGAAGACCTGGTCAGGAAGGGAAGCAAAAGTGACTCACCATTGCTCTTAAAGCAGTGAGATAACCCAGAGGTCTTGTTTTACTAGAGAAAGCTTAAGTATATAAAGATTTATAAGCATAAAAAAGGGGGGGAAAATTAATTTAACTACCTTTATTGTAACTATTTGTATTAGTTAAAACAAGTGCAAATAAATCATCAACACATGACTTAAGTGCAATCAATTTCATAAGAACTGAATTTAAGAAACTTGTGTGCTTTCATTAACTGCATTTTCTGAGAATGAAAAATGCTAGGAATTTTTTTTCTGAAAACAACATATCTTGAGGAGCTAACTTTCGGTCTGAATAACACTTGCATTAAAAATATTTTTAATATATTTCTAAATATTTATATTTATATATTAATATATAAAATAGTGTAAATGTTTATAATATAAATATTTATATTTAATATATAATAAAAATATTTTAATATATTAGATGACGTGTTAATTAGATGTGTTCTTCTTATAAACCAGCACAGTGAAAAAAATTACTTTTCCAGCTTTATTAAAAAAAAAAATTTGATATTCCCTGATACAGTTTTCCATTTGAAGTATGTTCCAGTGCAAATCAGCATTGTTTAAATGGCATAAAGGAAAGTGAAAGAAAACTTTTAACGACTGCTATGCTGAACAGATGTTCAAATAAAAACCATCCATTACAAAATGCATTTCCAGCTCAGTGCACATGTGCTGTATATTTAATTTCATTAAATTAAAAATACGGAGTCCTGGTTTTATAATTTAATTTATAAACATCTGAAAAGTCTTTCATTGAAAACAATGATTAGTAAAGTGAGTGGCTTTAATATTTGTTGTTCCATGTTTAAGAAAATTAATCAACCATACTATTCTTGCACCTTTAATGACAGCAGGATTTGCTTTGTTTAAGTTCTCAAGAGACCAGTAAAAGCGAATAACCCTGCAGAGGACTGCTATTTCCAACTGCAGATCAAACACCTGCAATGGATACTGCACAGGGTTGATTCTCAGAATCTCATTACATTTACTTTAGGCATAAGGATTGTTTTCAAACAAAAGCAAATTTCCTTAACTTAAAAAAAAAAAAATCAAATGTGATTTTTTATTACAGTGTTTTTTGCTGTATTTAAAGCCTGGTTTGTTTGTCTACCTATTTTTATCTCCTAACCTGAAAAAATGGCAAAGGACAGTCCCATATAAATGAGCAATGATATTCCTGCCTGGTACTTCAGGGCTTGGAATTCAGCATTTTGAAACTCCTTGATGCTCCACATTTCTCAGTCACAAACCTGGGAGAGAAATACATTTCTCTAACTGTTGAGTGAGAGACAGCTGATAACCTCCTGACACCAGAACCATCAAGGCCCATCAAGTATTACCTTGCCTGACCGTGACCAGAAGAAAAGTCTGCACCTTTCTCTATGATCAGGACTGTATCTGATCCAAGTCACTGAACCACAAAGGAAAAAAAATATATCTTCCATTTCTTCATGCCATCTGATGCAAACAAGCCCATCTCAAGGCAGTTCCATTGCCAGCTCTGCTTACTGAAAGCTTGAACTGGACATCATGCACATGGATCAGAGGAGCAATTCAATATATCACCTGCAAGATTATTTTGCCTGCCTGCCAGATGAATTCACAGCCAGTTCAGCAATACTCTTCATTTTTGCAGGGTAAAGGAGTCTAGTCACTCAGATTATTTATATAAAGCCAGCACCATAGTGTGAATTACTGTGAAAATATTCTGAGCTCCAGGACACCTGTCATAAGTTTTTGCTTCTCCAGAGATCAATAATCCTGAACAACCAGATTGCCTGTGCAAGTCTGATCCTGACAGCAACATAGCAGTCATGATCAATCTGTGTGATTAGAGTAACTTCAAGGATATTTCACCAAAAGCACTGCTAAGAAGAATTCACCTGTATTAAAAGGCGCAGAAAAGAAACTCTCACTCCACAAGGTGAGAATGCAATTGCATAGAGCATGCACAAACTGTGTGAAACTCATTTATGAGCCTTGACAATATAGTCTGGCATGGAGGAGAGAGATTCATTCCGCTATAAGATGTGGAGGATTTCACCCCGAAAGTGAGGTGGCATTCATGAACTGCATCAAGTCTCTCATGGCCTTAGGCCTACCTTGAATCAGAAAGAATGGCATATCAGAAAACTGCATGTATCTGAACAAACACAGGAGTGACTTCTTGGCCTTCATGGACTTACAGGGTTCTTGCTGCTCAACATGCTCAAAGCCACACTGACTCTATAGTGCAGATGTATAATCCAGTCCAAGGCAGCAGCTACAATTTTTGTGCTGAACCAACTTTCAGTCACTCTAGGATGCCTCACACAATGAAGACCATGTCAGTATCCCGTTTATAACATGTCCTGTCAACATTACAGGACTTCCCCTGAAGACTGTCTGTGCTTCATAAGTCTTAATCACTGAAACCAGAACAGCCACCTCATCAATACATTTCCTAATACTATTCAGGCTCCAGCCGAGGTCATTTTGAGGAACAGACTAGACCACAGATAAAACTGTTTTGAAACATTGCTCATAAACACTACAAGCAACTACACAAAGAGTTTAGTTTATCCAGCATTTCCTAGCGACAGAAAGCAAAGCATCTAGCAGTTTAAGAAACAGAAATAATCCCAGCTGTCACCTGTGGCACTAAAGAGACAGAGACAGCTGGAGAAAATAGATTAAAAGCACAAGGAAGGAGAATATATCCATGATAATGTTTTTTTTATTCGTCTCAAGGTACCAACAAAGAAATAACTGCGTGACTAAGACAGCACTCTCTACAAAATAGAATTCTGGAGACAACAGAGAATCTTCAATCAGACATTGAGAGAGATCCACATCATTCCTGAACTGCAGTGCTTTTAATTTATGCAACTTCAAGATAAAATTACTTAAAAGGCAGTTCCAATAATCATTGGTACTGACAGGGACAGCAGTAGAATTCAAACAGAGATTTGATAATGTAATAGATCAGGATGACAGAGGCAAGGATGAATTGTGTAAAATTTGTAAACATCTCCTAAAGGAAAGGAAGCAGAGAGTGAACTTTACGACCCAAAGAGTGAATCATGCCCCAGGAGCAGTACTTAAAAAATATGTAAACACTGAGCTGCCAAGATGTTTATGTACCACTTGGTCCAGTGAAATTAATGATTTTAGCCCAAGGCAGGAGCTTGCCAACCCCTTCAAAGTGCTAAGTGCAGGGCTGCAGCCAGAGCACAGTGCAAGACACTCCTTCCACCTGCCAATACACAGCAGTCCTCACACTGGCCCATGCAAACTTTGGAGATGGGTGCCTATGATCCTGCCTCTCTCTGTGACTAAAGACACCTGCAGCTTTGAGGTGGTCGTTCCTAGACTGGAAAATCCATACCTCTACTTGGATTTATGCCACTAAGGTGCTCTTTCTAGAACAGAGGATTTCAAACAGAAAAGACAATGGTAACAAGAGGAAGTGGCATGATGACAGATTTCTAGAGCACTCGTCTGGGAAGTGAAAGTCCCTGATGTCATAAAACATAAACATTCCACTTGGTGACCCTGAATGCAAAATTTAGTCCATGGAGCAAGGACCTGAACACAGAATTTTGTCCTCTCAATACCCACCTCCCCAGGTCCTGCTGCTACTTGTTTATACTTTAACCATAAAGAATTTCCATTCATTTCCATCCACCCCAGAAGTTCACCAAAGCGTGGAAGGCAGCTCCATGCTCATCTTGAGGGCACATGGCTGAGCACTCCAAGATGCCCAGGCAGAGGGACCAGAGCCCAAGCACTCCATGAGTAGGTGAGTGCTCAGCCCACCAAGCCATTACATGAGAAACAAGAATTCAAAACACATCCCCTTGAAGTGCAGCACCTCACCTTGGCTGTTTGATTGCCAAGGACTGAGCTTTGACAGCCTCTGAGAAAACTCACACACCTTGAGGCAATGATGGTACACAGTCTGTAGGAGCTACAGTCCCAAGAATGCCTACTTAGTTCATCCCAAACAGGCTTAGAAACAAGATAAATGTGAGCCATTCAGCCGAGCAACGTCTGTACAGATGTACAGCAATAAGACTGCAATCACATACAGTGTCACAAGAGCTTTCAAATATATAATTTTTTTTTTCTTTTTGCATATAAGTTCTGAATTAAGCGGCCTTGTGAACCTCAAGGCTAGTGGTGTACCTATACTCTGAGCAACTACAGGTGAGTAGGTGAGAAGAAAGGCCAGACCTAAGTTTGGTAATTTTTATCAAATTACACTAATATTTCATGCAATATAGCATGAAAGCTGTTTTAGATGTAATTTAATGTACATTTGTAGCCAACAGTTTCAGTAAAATTCATTACTTTATGGTAAGAACAGGCAGCCTGATGATCTTCATCATGAACACAGAGTGAACTACTCTTATGACACTATACAACTCATTGATGACTTGTTTTTTAGAGTACATGTGATACTTACATAGCCAATTAGAGCACAAGATCTGTTTTCATCAGATGCAATTCAGCAATAATTATGAAATCACCTAACTTGAAGACATGACGTAGAACAAGTCTATTTCAGGAAGTGGTAAGTTAAAAAAAATACAATTGATACTTTATTTAATTAAGATTCTTAACCATTTTTCTTCAAAACAAAAAAACTTGAAATTTATAGATTTTCTTCATAATCAAGGCAGCATGTCTATACATAAGTATAGACAAAGGAAAAATGACACATCTTTATGTTAGTACTTTAAAATATTATTTTTTAATTCATTTTGTTAAAAATATAATACCAGTAACTTGCTCTTTTCCAAAGTTCCATCTGTGGTTTTAGAGATACAAATGCTAGTGTAGATGAGCAAATGAGCTACAAATGCAATGTCATATCATCTTTATCTCTATAAATATTTTTAGCTCAAAAATATTTAGTGCTTTCTTTTAAAAAACACCTGTAACTGAAACAGCAATTATGAACAGGACCACCTGTTTTTGCAAACACATATGAAAAAAACAAATCATCATGTATAGTTTACCTATGCACAGCTGCCAACTCATTCTACAGCATAGAATGCAGCAGTATAAAAGAAGCTAAGAGTTTTCGTGTAAAAAAGGCAGTGGGAAAAAAGGAAAATACCAGGTAGCTCAAATCAGCAATGCTTCATCTTTGATACACAAAATTTAGCACTGATTTCAAAAGTTACATGCAGCTAAAGTGAGAGTCTTCATTGGAGGAGTGTGGGGAAAAAGGGAGAAAAGAGCTGGGAGGAAGAAGGAGAGGTCGTGGTACAGAAAAGGCACTTCACCATCAGGAGCCACATGCCCGAGGCAGGAGTTCAGAGCTCTACATCCTTATCCTCGAGGCACCCCTCTCTCAGCTTAACTCTCCTGGAATCAACAACTCAGCAGAAGAATCTGCTGACAGCCACCACTCGGCCCCTCTCTTCCAGCCAAGCATCCTCTCTTCCTAGTCAGCACCTTCTAATTTGCCATTACCAGAGATTCTTACTAACACAGTGACCTGGATTCACTAAAAAGCACGTACTTTTTAATGCTGTAACACAGCTGCCCAAAGCTTCCAGAGCATGCTGAAAAGCAAGAAAAAACTCTCCAAGTAATCAGCAGTTCAGCTGACAGGATGCCAAACACTTCAGAAATGGCATGTGTTAAATCAGACTGTGTCCAAGAGTTTCTGTAGCCACTGTTTAACTGCACACAGCTCCGAGCAGTTGTATGTAAAACAAAGTAGAGTCCTCGACTGAAACAACTATCTGAGGAAAGACAAAACATCAGCTATTTGGAAAACACAAGTCCTCCCACTTGTTGTGAATCACTGTATTTGTGCTCAGCATCTAAATATTTCCCCAAAAACTCGTACTCATGACCTATCTTTTGTTTGCAGAAAACTTTTTAAAGGAACATATTTTTGTAAAGTCTGGTGGGTTGACCCCAGCCAGACCCAGTTACACAATGTTATAAATAACAATGAGGAGGAATGAAAATACGATTAGTTGAATAAGTAACAATTCTGGGTTGGAGGTTTTTTGGTGGTTTTGGGGGTTTTGTGGTTTTTTTGTTGTTGTTTGTCTTGTTTGTTTCTGTTTTTATTCAAGGAATTACGTGATTAAATGAATATGGAGCTCAATATTCAAACAAAAATTACCTACACTCTACACTATTTCAGATGAGCAAACTGCATGGTTCATGATACAATGAAACCAATTCTCTCTTCAACCCCTCTTCAAAACAGTAATTTTCTGTCCTGTCTCTTCCTCCTCCTGCCCCAGTTGCATCTCCCTTCTCCCCACTTCAGCTCCTCAGACCCTCATTAGCAGCCTGTCTGACACAAAGTTAACTTACCTCACTACCTCAGGAAACAAAAAATCTATTTTCTTCCAAATTAGTTTTCTGCAATTTTAGTGAGCTGGAACAATTTTCCATGTGACCAGCTAAGTATCAGACCTGGTTCAAAATAACCTCTGGAATCAAAGAACCAATTAAAAATGGGAGGAAAGAACAGAATCACTCGCTTTTACCAAGAAATTAATTCCATTAAAATCAGTGTAGTTGAAACTGTTCTGTTGAAATCCAATCCTACATGAACTGACACTAGAGTTTTATCTCATTAGGTTTTGTGGTGGACTTGATAATCTTAAAGGTCTTTTCCAACCGAAACAATTCTATTAGAGAAAACAAAATCTTGCATCTTGGCCCACTCACAGAGTACAGCAGCAATTTTACAAACATATAAAACATAAAGGCAAGCTATAAGAAAGAACTGCCAACATCATAAAATAACAGAATTTAGGTTCTCAGGCTCTTTGGCTCATTTGTTCTGCCTCATTTCAAGGAAACGGGACACCAGAAAATTTATGATTCTATGACATGAAAGAGATCACTTTCACACTACCTATTAGAAAGAGCAGAGAAAAACAGTAGCCTGTGTTGACCTTGTGGCTGTTATAGCAGCAATTTAACTCAAAAGACTGCGACGAGCCAGGAAATAACAGGATATGGTTTTGCAAATAGAGTCTAGACTAAAGGCTTTCTCTGCAAAACTTCCTACAGAAGAGCTTATTTAGTCATTTGATCAGCTCACCAAGAGCAAAGAAACCTTCTTTTAATATGTTTTTTTATGTTGCTGTCTCCAGTATCCTCAGGTTTTCCATTATTCAAATGCTCTCACAGGATGTCACAGGGGAACCTTCCCTGTGCTTCATGGCACAGATACAGACTCACAGAATATTCTGAGTTGGAAGGGACCCACAAGGATCATCAAGTCCAAGACAGACACTTCTTCCACAAAGATGCTGAAGGCATCCACAGGCACAATGCTGCTTGCTCCCTTCTCACTTGGCTCTAACATAAATCTACTCCATATTCTTTTGAAGAAAAAGTAAACAATCTGATATTGCCTATTGTGCTGAAAATAAAGGACCTGAAGCCACTTTTACTGTGTTTGATTTTGACCTAAATTTTAAAAAGTCTGTGGCAACTAAGACTTCCACATTCTGCAGTTTCATGCTGCCATGTATGTTTGCATTCTAGCAGCAATTACTAGGATACACCATTCTAGGATTCTGTCATTTTATAACATAATTTTATTATTATATTATTTATGACATAATTCTAAATATCTTAATATATTGTTAATATATAATATAATATCTGAATATTAAAACACAGTAGCAAAACCAAAATTCAAACACCATCAAGGCATTCTTTCTTGTACGAGTTTATCTGCAGATTTATGAAATTAAAATGAAGGATCATTTGGTTTCAGGGGTTAATTTACAATACAGATTAGCAGGGGAAAGGGGGGAAAAAAGTCTGATCTGAAAAGAAAATAAATAAGAAGCATTTAAGGAAACTACCCAGACTGCTGTGAGCACAGAGAGCCAAAGCCTGAGTTTTGCTTGGCATGAATGTCTCAGTTCTTAGTGTTACTGAGTCAGTCACAGTTCAGCCTTCTGGGGATCATTTCCAATGGAGCAAAAGAGGTATCCCATTTTCACAAACTCGATAAAAGCAAAACATGCATATTTCAGATCCAAACAACCAATATCTTAACCAAATCCCTATAAACTGCAATAGTTATTTATAAAAACAGCAGTTACTAAGTACTGAGTCTAAAACTGAGGAAAGTGCACAGAAAGCTGTTAAAAATTGCTTGATGGCATGAAGAGTTTTAACCTTAGGCAAGTAAGTAGAGAGTTTTTTAGATTCCTAATTTCTCACGTATTAAGAAATTATGTCTAAATTATGACAAACAGGTAATTTTAACTAGTACAAAGAAACTTATGTTTATTATAACCATTTACTTTTCTTTTTCACCTCAAATACCAGAAAAAGTAATAGAAGCTACAGATGATTTTATCTTGAAAAATAATGGAGGGTGACAAAGCTGATGCTGCATGTAAAGGTACTAAAGGATTTGAAATTGGCTCAACAAAAAGGTTCAACAGGTTTCAGCGTGGCTCAGGAGGAAGAAGGCTCTGAGTCTTCACTTTTATCTGTAAAACCAGCAAGAAGCTCTTTCTGCATACATGCACATATTTAAACTCTGAGCATTTTCATTTTCAGGTCTCCAATAACATTTTAAATTCCCAAACATTATAGCTAAGCAACACTTTCAGGAGCATTCTAATCAAGACTTATCAACAAGATTTAATAAGCAGCAGTCTGAAGCTGAACATCAGATTCCCTTCAAGCATTCATAGCTGCATGTTAGTTCCACTGGTAGGAAGCGTGGCATTTTTCCATTTCTTGTTTCGCTCTTAAACAGCAATTTCACCGAATTGGTAAAATACGTAGCACAGCTGTCAGCCTTTAAAGCAAAAGTAAAGTATGTGGGTGACTTTGAAATATAACAGAATAACTATGTTTAAGATTTCTGTAATTTCAGATGCAGGCTCTACAGAAAGCTGCTTTACCTCTCCCTCTGCTGCAGCCCTTCAGCATCATAGAGGAAGAGAAGCCAACAGCATCACCAGAAAGAAGTGAGACGGAGCACTGGCTCAAGACTCCCAACCTTTTTCCACTCTTGGGAAAGCCTTCCCAGCAGCTTTTCCAGATTTTCCCACAGACATAGTGTTGGGTTTGGTTTATTACCAACTTTCCTGCATAGCAGGCCCAGACATTACCCTATCTGATTCAAAACAAAACAGGACAAACCAACGAACAAAAACACACTTGTAGAGTGTGCATCTCAGGGTGCCATTACAGGTTCATACTCCATGAAATTACATAAATTTAAATACTAAAAAAACCACTAATATGGAAAATGACACCTTACCCCATGCAGACAAGATTCTTATTTTCAATGTTGCATATACAGCCAACAAATGAAAATAATTGTGTTTGTTATGATTGACTAATTTAGTCAGAAAGCAATAAAGTACCTTGTCTCTCTCCTTTACTATAAGAGGAAATCTACATGATATTCCCTTAACTGTTAACATCTCTTGCTCACAAAAATTAAAGAGCAGATTGACTACAAATGTGTTACCTAATTTATAGGAATGGCTTTTTCACACATCCTTACAGGTCATCCCACCCAACCTATCAGCACAATGTTATGATTAAATTATGCATTTTTACTTTCCCTGACATGGCAAAATGTTCACTTCCACCTGTGCTGTCAGTTTGTGTATTTTGTCCAAATTTCAATCCAAATGTCATCTGTTCTCTTGGAAAGCTCCTGGTGTTTTTGTGTTCTTTCCTGTTGCTGAGTGTTTTCCAGGGAACAAGGAAGTCTTTAGTTTTACAGAAGTAAAATTATCACCCATTGGTTATTTTTTCCAAGTCAGACATTCAGGCTACAGAGTAATAAAGTGTGCAATTTTTTTCATTCTAAAAACTATCATTACCACTGCCCTGCAGCTTTCAATTCATCAACTGATTTTCTTCCCTCTAGTGATTGATGAATAGTGTCTTCAGATTTGCTTCTGGACTAATTGTAATTGGACCAGCAAATTTCACAACATCAGTTTAAAGAAAGAAATGGAACTTTGAAGACTGAATTGTTCTCCCTGTGTGGTTTCAGATAAGTTCCTTTTTGTCTATTAGGAGAGTGACTATTACCAATATTAATTTTTCAATGCCACAGAGTTCACTCAAATAATTCAGTTTTAAATCAAATACAAAAGTTGGAACTTCTAGAAATTTACAGCTTGCTAAACAAATATTATCTTGCAAATTCTTGAGTTGCTACTTCAGCCTTATTACTTAGATGGCAATGACAAAGAAACAGCGATATCTAGCTGTTGATTTTTAAGAACAATTCTTATGATACAGATCAAAAATATTAGGTTATCACACGGCCAGACATGAGTACCCAAGTACCTTTACTAACCACACAAGGCTGTTTCTGACTTGTTTTTCTTGTTGATTTTCAGGTGTACGTAATTTAGAGTTGTCATAAAATTACAGGAAATTCTCATGCTGAATGCTACATCAATGCCCTTCTCCCCCCCTTAACTCAGTTCTTTAATTATTTATAACAGTTACAGGCACTTAGGAAAGAACAGTGAATTATAAATATTTAATACAAGATGCCTGTAACAGAAAGACATGAGAGAGACTACAAAAATCAAATAAAGTATTTGTTTATCCCAAGTAAAATAAAAAGCAAGGCAGGTGATCTTTATATTTATATAAGTGTTCATAGCTTTGACAAAGCAAACCTATTAAGTCATCAGTATGCTTTACCGAATAATTACAACCAAACAAATAAAAATTGACAGGTACACCAGTTTTCTTCAGACTTTTAGTATTTTAAAGGGATCTATTTTGATTGCTTGCTACAAGTTTGCCTTGTGAGAAATGCTGAAGAAGTATCACTACAGGACATCAGAGTTTCAAGATATTAAAGGATGCAAGAGTCAAGAGCAAATACAATTTTTAAATTCTCATCTACGACAGCAGCATCTTAGCAAGCAGCTGGTAAGAAATTCTCAATATAAATTAGAACTATAGCACTTGGGGTGGTAAGAAAGTATGAAAGAACTTTAAAATATCATCAAATACAGTTTATAACCCTTCTAGTTGTGGAGGAAAGCTAAGGATATAGTGCACACAAACTTCAATATAATAGAGCAGGTAAAAAAATTCGAATTTTTAATTTTCACAACTCACAGTATTTTAATACTTGGTACAGGCAATAATGAAAATATGTTAATACCATAATTGTGTTCTAGAGAGGAAAGAAATAATTACCAGGAAAACAGGACTCCTTTTTTAAACCACTAAGACATACAAGGGAAATATCATTAATCTTTAATTACTATGTTCATGTACCATATCTCAATTCCCTGTATGCAGCTTTCTAAATTTCTTACACATCACAAATACTTAAAAAGTCACAAAAATTAACTCACATGATATCCAAAACTAAAACAAATCACAGAAGCAAAACAATTATCTCATCTTTTTTCTTCAAATTGAATTACTTTCTGCTCACTCTGAAACCAAAGGCCTCCACTGATTCTGCTGTCCCTGTCCTTTGAAATCAGCTCAGGCTCCCAACATGAAGGGCTCCCTGCCAAACCAACAGGAAAAAAATGTGCATGCCTGGGATGGGCAAGAAAAGGCTGAAGAAGAAAAGTTTAGATAATTCTTAGAAACTATATTAATTTTCCTTATCTCAGCATTATAGCCACCCACCATGAAAACTCACAGTGATTAAATGATTTCATGGGGAGAAGTTTTATTCTTGTTCCATGCAACAGAGACAGAAAGTAGAACTGTTCCCTTACAGCCAACACCCTCACTCTCCCAGCTTCCTACTTCCAACTTTATTTTCTCTTTTGCTATAACTACAGGTTAACAAAACTTTCCAAACATATTATTTTATTAGTTCATATTTTCTTGTTCTAAAATGATTTGAACATTCATCTTCAACATGGAACCCTTTTTGAAAAAAATGCTTTCTTTTCATAAAACTGTTAGTCAGAACTGAAAATGTGTCAGAGGAGCCACTTTTGTACCTCAAGCATGCACATAGTTTAATCAAGATATGGTTTAGAGTATATTTAGATTGTACTTGAAAGTTTGCCTGTACAGTGGACAGTAATGTAAAGAAAATCCCAGCTGTAAATGACACCAGTGTACCAGGAAAAGTACTAGAATGGACACAGTTATATTTGCAAATGTGTCTTTTGGTTACCCAGCTTACTCCTCCCAGTAGCTGAATTATGCCAGGAAAAGAGCCTGCTGTCAGAATTTGTGTGGTCCCTAAAAATGGAGCTGGCCCTCATGTCACCTACACCAATAAACCTAGTGAAAAGGAGACAAGCCTGCGGTATTAATACTTACACTTGAACCCTGAAAATAAAGGCAAGTATTCAAATGCCATACTGAAATCTGAAAGAACAACATTTTATATATTTAAGAACTCTCAGAATAGTTTAACTGATGCAAAGACTAAAATAGTAAATCCTTAACTTCTTACA